ATATTTTTTATAATAATTGTTAATTTAACTGGATGTTTTTTTTAAATTTACAGATTTTCCTAAAAAAATATGAAGTTTTTATACTATTAAAGTATTAACCAATTTACCTTGAGTTATGATATACATATAATTTCTATTATGAAACTATATATCGACAGCATTATTATTATAATAACTGTTATTTTATCATTAAGAAAATAATGAGTAATACAATCTATATATTAAAACTAAGAACTAAGAACAGTATGAGCATTTAATTAATAATATTATTCTAAATATGAACTAAATAATAAATAAAAAAGTCCATTGATACTAATTCAAAGATTATTATTATTATTATTATTATATACATTATTTAATATAGTAAATTGTATCATTTTGAATTGAATTAACAGTTTATTTTGTATTTGATGATCAGTTAAATTTTTAATTTTCTCAAAATTTACGAAAATAAAAATATAAAATTGATAAACTCAAGTTGGATTACATTTTAATGTGTTCAACATGGTTTTAAAATTATCACTGTGATTTAAAATGTTTTATTAACTTAATTACAACCTTCCTAATTATATATTATAGGTATCCATTCATTCAGTTAAAATATATAATCTTATGCTAAGTAAAATTATATAATGTATAATATATTTATTCTTATTTATAACATTTAAATATAATTAATTTTCTGTTCTACTCTTGTAATGTTATCAGTTATATTTGCATTACATTATTGAGTTCAATAATAGTCATTTTTCAGTACGTTTTTTGAAATAACTCGTTAATTTAAAAATTTGAATCTAACACGCCTAAGACTTATACAGTTCTGAATAACCTACGCTCAACTTCAAAATATTATAATATTATAAAATTATTCGTTGTGTAGTGCTGGACATATTTTTTCGACATATCTGTAGTAGTACTGTATATCAGTAAGGGATTAAATCTTTAATTTTCGACCGGATACTGAATGTTGTTTAATTTATTCTCAAAAGAGCATTTTATAATGGTTAACTATTATAAAATTAAAATAAATTATAATTATAAGGTTAGTATAATATTAACGAAGTCGACGTATTTGATTGCAACGGCAGCAGTTGAGTTGCACACATACATACACGAGTAAAAATGCAACATCGTATTAATTGTAGTTAGGATTGAAATGGCATTATTTGTATATACCCAGAACAAACTCTATCTTAATACATAATATTATCCTTGATGTGTGGACGTATTTCAGATGCGTTTAATCTCGGATTCATGAGTCAACCCTCGATGTTTGTAGGGCAAACGACATTGATTAATTTGAAACGAAATGTATGCAATTTATAACGTTACGGAAGTATAGTCGGAGAGAGAGAGAGAGAGAGAGAGAGAGAGAGAGAGAGAGAGAGAAAATGTTGGTGAGCGATATAGGTTGCGGCGTCGGATTGATACAACAAACGATTTGCATATGTTGCAAATAATTAATTTTGATATGAACGCCGGACGATGATTATAATAATTGAACACACGTATAATAGTAATAATATGATAATAATAATTATAATACTATATCGAAACGAATGTAAAACCGTTCGAATTGATTACGAGTATTCAGCGACTGCAGTCTACAACCGTGACATTGTGCTCGGTGGCATACGAATAAAACCGGTTAATTGAATATAGTATGTAAACGAAACAGACTCGACGGGCGTTTCGGACGAATAGTCCAACTTGATATTATTAGAGAAGAACCGGATGCGGACAATGGGTACAGGAGACTTTAATGAAAATTGTTTTCCGTGTGTATTTATGTTATGTGTATCGTTTCCTATTCGTTTTTCGGTATACATACAATAGTACTCATACTGTATATATATAAATATGTGTATGGTTATAATTATTAATTGGTATACCACATCTGGACATTATGCGTATAAATAATATCGTAATCGAGGATCACTTTCTACTAATTTTTCTCCTGGCAGTCATTTCTTCTCTTCATTTATTCCGTCTGTGACAGATGGCACAATAAAATAATAATAATAATCGTCATAAGAGCAGACAATATCGCACGTAAAAATCCATTTGTCAAACCCATGATGACACATTATCGGCGACTCTCACCACTATATAAACTAGAAACTTGGTTGACATATGAAATGTAAAATTTATCGTATCCAATGTAATATATTATCGAAATAGCTAGGTACGCATAACGTAATGATTTCTTACTTCATAGCAGTTGAAATCAAACATTTAACACGAAAAATACGCGAAATTATCATTGCGTTTCTCGTGACTTCGAATTCAGTTCTCCATCATTTCGTATTCATTTTCGTTATTATGATTACCACGATCTCTGCAAGTTACTAAAGTCCCATAAAAATAAAAATGTCTGCTGTCCAAATATCTCAAACCATCGACATTTGTTAATTGGAGAGATAAATTAAATTATAATTTTGCATTGCTCGAGTTTAAATCTCTAGCAAAAGCGTTTGTAACTAAATTTTAAATTGATAAATAATATAAATAATTACAAATTGACGAAATGTGTACGATAAATATATGACACATAAAAAATATGCATGCAAATCATTCGTTCTACAATGTATAAAAATATATTGCTAAAAATACATATATATTGTATTTGGTCAAGGGAACTTAATTTCATTGTATAAATAAATACATTATATATAGATAATTCATCTATACTAATTGTTTTTTGTTTTGTTTATTTAAAATATATATAGAATATTTATTATATAACGTGCATTCTTTTACCATAAGTAAATTTGATAAATAAATTATTTAATAATCATTAGAGTTTATTTTATTTTACGTTTAATATACAACTAGATTTTTATTTTATATTATTTTATCTATTTTACTTTATTCATATACTTGATAGGTACATTTTGATACTGAATAATTAACAAATTTGTTAACTCTTAAAAACATAGTAACATAAATTATTATGTTACATTTTTATTTTACATGTCTCTGAATATTATTGCATATTTAATAAAATTGAAGAGCTTTATGTTTGGTCCTCATTTATCACAATTACCAAACTAATTTTTTTCGTTCAATATTTTTAAAATGTTATTGGTATGCGGGAGCACAAAAATTATCTATTTAATAATATTTAGCAGACGTATTATTTAGACAAAAAAGGTATTATTGATAACCATCCATATTTTTTAAATACATTTTATTAATCGAAAAAATCAATTATTTTGAAAACATGATTTTTTTTTAACGTAAATATCATATGAAATATATTGCATAATTGTATATAGAGAATAGTAATTATTAAATAATACCTGCATTAATTTCAATTTTCTCGGACGGAAAAGAAAAGCTTATAGTAATTTTAACTTATAACCAGGATGAGAATGTTTATATCCTCAAGGACCCATACGAATTTCCTAAAAAAATGCATCTATTTAAAAAAAGACGATATTTGCCTTATAAAACAATTAAAATGACCTTTTAAAGTGTTTTGTTCATCAACTATATAAAAAAAGACCACATTTGGGTGTATAATTTAATTTTACTGTTTTTTGGTTTGAAACAGTATCCTATTTAATGAATAAATAAATAAATAACAATAAATATAAATAAATATATATTATACTTTTTTACGGACACAAGCTATAATTTATATTTTTTTATGCTAAATCATACTAACCACAAAATTTAATGAAAATTTGCTTTCGAGGAAGTGTCAACCTGCGTTATATTTATACGTTAATCATTTTAGTGCAATCTATTTTCATGATGATCACGCAACCGCATTCCATGATTATGGGGTTCGAAATAAAACGCCAAACGGATATTTTAAGTAGATGCAATTATTGCGTTTTGACGCTCATGCTACATCGTGTAAAAGTGTCATAATTAACACCGAATTTTTGCGCCATATTGAAGTACATGTAAAAAAAAGTTACGCTTTCTTTTAAATTATTGTAATCACGTTTTGTTTTGAGTCATGGAAGCAAAATTATTGATAATTATTGCGCTTAATGTTATTCTATTTTTATAATTTCTACTGCTTGTACAGACATGAACATGATTAATGATAGTTTTTAAATCACTCGTAATATTTCTTCAAACGTCTGATAAAATCAGTACTTATTATTATGTACGTTTATGCCGTACTTCTGCAACCGTGGTGAACTTTTTGAATGACAAAATAAAAAATTAATTTTCTTTGAAAAATAATTACATCCGTAACCATTATGTTATGGTTTCATATCAATAATATATCGTCTCGCAAAATGATCAACTCGTTAAATGGGTCAAAGTATTAAAATAATATGTTTACACTACGCATGATTGATAATACACGTATATTATGTGTTAGTATAAATGTACTTACATATTTTCTAGTTGAACTAACCGAGTGTCCGATAGTCCAATATTTATTTTTTCAGCGTTTGCTGTCACTACAAAATCTGCTGGTTTGACAGGTATTCTGAAGATAAATATAGATGATACAGAATTAGAATTTATCTTCTCATCATTTAGTTCAACCGAAACACGTGTTACCCAGTTGAATCATGTTGAAACTATTTTAGTAAGGTTTAGCCTGTCGTCTGAGAATACAATTCTACAATTTGAAATAGAATATGCCTAGGTGGGGGAATTCGTTTTTCTTGTTGTAAAATATGAATATACTCGAAATCCTCTAGCCACGCAAATGAGTTGGTAGGAAACGGGTAACCGTATTCTACAAATAATTTATGTAGAAGTGGACATTCAGGTAGGGTGTTTAATATTTCCAGATTTGTATTGGTTTCCCTGGTGAAATATGGTCACAGTTCCTTTGAGCAGTTATTATTGCCACAACACATGATACGGTCAGTTGTGGCGCGTTACGTCCATTTCGCGTATGTTGTCAACGGCCGTTAAAGTCGTTTACATAAATGCACGCCGTTGTAAACACGATATTATAATATGATAATCTATCTGTAATTACATTCAACTAATCTTATTTTTTTTTCTCCCGATTTGCACAGATGATGGCTGCTGTGATTGTGGCTGCCGTGCAGTGTTCCAATCATGAAACCGAATCACGGGCCATGCACAGTCACGAGGAAGGGCCAATGCGTATTAAAGCGCAGTCCAGGATATCCATGTTGAAAGGTGGCACCAATGGATACGGGGCTAGGGTACAAATCCGTGAGGATCTCCATGGCCGGAAGCACGCGCACGCCATGGCTATTTGCGACTGTAACGGACAGGGTGAGTATATTACACCTAAGTATGCGAATGAAAACATGCATTCGAGACTATGGATAGGCCGGAGAAGTAAAAAAATTTAACATTGCTTTCGCAATAAAGTTTCATGTGTCCATTTTTGATTTGCCGACCTGACAGCCTTCCACAGCTTAGATTTCCAGTACTAGGTCAGGGTTGGACTAGGCCACCGGGGCATGCCCTGGTGGGCTGCTGTAATTTTGGTTAAATAAAATTACTTAGATTTTTTTGTTTTTAATTTAATGCGTCTATCTTCTATTCTTAAAATAAAATAAAAAATATCGTCTTGTAACATGGCATTACTAATGGATGCGGTGACATAGGATTAGTTAACTCGGAGTTTGAAAATTTAATATATTTAATGTCGCGATAGGCCAATTGATAACAATGATTTCATCAGAATATTTATAAATAGAAAAATTGAAGGAAATTTGAATACAAAAGATGTGTACAATATGTTAATCATACGAAGTATCGTTCGTGTTCAAACAAAATTTTATTAAAATAAAATGTTGGTATGGGTTACGGTCTTAGAAGATTAATTTTCTAAGACCATAGTATGGGTAGACATTGTCGCGCAAGATATGCGATAACGAAATTGTTTTTCGATAGTAATAATTTTTATAAGATTTATTAGACTTTTATTTAAAAATATTTTTATAGTTTTGACATTTAGTCAATAACAATTCTGTTACTAGTTTCAAACCTTAATGGACTTTGGGCCACATTCACAAATTAAAAATGGTGTAAAATTTATCTTAATAGGTAGGTCATTATATCAATATTATAGATAAGATATATTATGCGTAACTAGATTTATTTAAGGTATAACATTAAATCTGAAAATATTCAAATGTACTTGTGTGAATATTGTTTTTTGAGTTACGAAGACACATTTTCAGTTAAACAATAATTTTATCAGGTACCTACCTACTTATAAAGTTCCATTGAGGCCGTTCGAAATTATATTGCCTGGGCCGAGCTATAAAGCTAGTCCAACCCTGTACTAGGGTATTATCTTAATGTTGACTATCCCATCGATTTTGTTATATCGGCTAATGTAATATATTATATCTGAAAACCTCTATTATATTCGTATTACGGTTCATTCAGTGGAAGAGTTTACGTAACGGAAAATCGCAAATTTCTTGAATGAAAATTGAAATGTATAGGACTCTTTAGTTCAATAACTATGTAAACTCTATATTTATTCGTATTGATCGTGAATTTAAAATATTAGAAAAATTATCTCTTTTAGTATTTACAATGAAAAATAGAAGTTACCGTTTAAAGTAATACACAGTTTAAAAAATAGCTTAAAGAATGAGTTTGTTGAAATTAATACGATTTGAAAAAACTTCAACACTGATTCAGATCGATAACCTGTATAAAATTCAAGCGTACAGAGTATTTGGAATAATCATATATATATATATATCATGATATATTATATGTATCATATGTATGTACACAGTTATAAATTGTATTGGTTCAGAAATATTCAAGGAACAAACCGAAAAATCATAGTTTCTATTTCCGTGCAACAATAATGATGTACATATTAGTCATTATGATACTTTTACTTTGTGCTCGTTACTTAGGTGTAGTATATACGTATTGGAAAGTGTTTATTACTTTATGCAAAATATCAGTTTAGATCGTTATTTACAATATTTCATTACACGCAATCTCAAAAATGTTTCATCGTTGTGAGTATATGCATAATATTAAAATGAATAAGTCGAGTGTTCATTTATATCTAAAACATTATAATATAAATTATTAAAATATATATAAAAAAAAATATAAAAAACGTGAAACTCAAAATATTGTATTTAAATATACTATTTGATAATAGTTGTTATGGTTGAGACTTTATATAAACGATTTATAGCTCATAAAATTGTTGTAATAAAATTTATTGTAAAAAATGTATTAAATTAAGTACAAACCTACCTATTTAAGTATAGTACTAATGCTATACACAGTATTAAGTCTATATGTGAGCGGCGGAAAAAAATAAGCTTAGAATGTATTTTACATTAAAAAAATGTTAATATGTACTGGGGCCGCAATTCTACACCCAAAAGAAAAAAAAAAAAATCGGGTCAAAATTCGTATGTGCTTACCCAAAAAAAACTAGGTCCGTAATTTTTAACAAATTTTTACCGAAAGACGTAACTGGGTAGCCACCCCATTAATACAAGCTAATATTATTGTATTCGATTTAAAAACATGATTTCATGTCTTCCGTGTTACAGCATTGTCAGAGGAATATTCGTACACTTTAACGCTATATATAGGTCGTATTTCGTGATTGTAAGTAGTATACCACCGTTGACGTTACGAACGATTTCTACTGTAGGCGTTAGAAACGGAATCGCGTGCAATGGAAACCGTGCACAATATATTTATGGATAAAATAAAAATCATGTACGTATCCGGCTGCGGTGTAAAAATAACGTTTTCAGGCTAATAGGTCAGTAGTGAAGAAGTGTCGGGTGTTTGGACGATCGAAAGTATTGTACGTATTTTTATTATGAATTGCGATCCGCAGGAACAGTTGAGGGTTTTTCTTATAAGCTACTGGTATTCATGGATAATTAATTTTTCATAAAAACAAACCGTTCAGTGTCGATTTTCCGCGTACGTTGTTTATATTTTTACCAACCATATGTTTCGCAACGGAAATATTATTAGGTATAAGCAAATAAATAGTTTATGTATAGAAATAAATAAAAGCCTAACCTGGAGTGTTATTTTTTTTGTAAAGTACGACCGGCTTTGAATTAAAAATGTATTATTAAGTATACGCATTGCCGGTTAGGTTAGCCGGCACTATGATTGGGAGACCCTGTGCAAATTATAAACGCGAGACCCCAAATCTGAATACGAATTATTATATTGTTAGATTGGTACATAATTAAAATATTTTATCCGTGTATAGTTAATATTTAATTAAATAACATTTTTTTTCTTTCATTTTTATTAAATATCTATTTTATATTTTGATTACTGTCAATTGTTCATTATAGGTACATAATAATATATATTACAGTCTAAGCTTATACTTCTATAGGTTATTGAATAAAAAATAAAAAATAATTAAAATTAATCAAAATATTTAAAAACATTAAGCTGAAAACTAAAAACTGATCAATGAGAAAAAAAAATACAATAACCATAAGGGTAAATAAATAATAAGCGTTAAAATTAAAAACTAACTGAACTAACTGAAAGAAGCAAAATTATGGAAAAAAATCAACATTAGAATCTACACGACTTCACATAACAAAATGCCCACATTTCAAATCAATTTCGAATCATTATTAACTTTGTGTACGTATACAAAATTAATAATGCATTTTTAATTCGAAACCAGTCGTACTTTACAAAAATAATAATACTCCAGACTAAGCTTTTATTTATTTATTTATTTATTTATTTATTTCTATATATAAACTATTTGCTTATTTATTTATATATTATTTTCAAGGATTAACCATTTGATAATTTTTAATTTTTAATTAAATTTTTTAATATTTTATTGAAAATATTACGATAACGCGTGTGGTGTGGTAATATCGACAGGACGTTGTGTGTTGCGCGCCATCTGGCAGTGTATAGCGGTAAATCAAGATTTGTGTTTAACCATTTTCATAATATTTTAAAGTTCTTTCATTCATTGGGTACTCAAAGAAAAAAAAATAATAATAATAATAAATAAAAAAATACTGCAACAAAATAGGTATCTCGTCAGTCACTTCAAACCCACAAATTCGATCGAATGATCGAACCTGGAAGTTCTTGTCCAGTATGCTGCAGTTGAACCACACTGATCATTGAATCGTATCGAAAAACCAATGTCCATAAAATTGCAGGGAAAATCATTATAAACGACGTAATTAATCGGTTGTTATAATTTCATGGTCTGCTAGACCAAAAGGATTTGAAAAATCCATCACCCGAACGGTTTAAAACGGTTTGGTTCATTTTTTTTTTTTGTTTATTCTTGATTAAACTCACAGTTATTGTAATAGCTGGCCCACAACAGTTAGGTACGTTTGACATTATAGTTGAATGGGGTTGTTATATACTTTCTCCTCAGGGCGGTTTGATTTTATAATGATAAATATTTCAAAAGAGATAATAATCGTTTACACTAAATGTTCGCAACTTGATTGTCTACTACATTTCGAATTGTTTCGAGTTTTGCTTTTATACTTGAAATTGTTATTAACAACTTCTGTCCGAGGAATTTTTGATAAACTTCATGTATTGCGTGGTTTTCACATGCGGTACTGGAATTGTTTTAGTGTGTTAAATTGTGTTTTCAGGTTCAGGTGAAATGTTTAAACAATAAACACGTCTTTTAAATCGTATTCCATTAGATCAGCGATTCCCAAACTGTGCACCACGGTGCCCTAGGGGCACCACAAACATTTTCTAAAGGCACCGCGGTCTACGTACGGTTCATAACAAATAGTTTAAAATGTATAAAGTTGTTTTTCCTTATGGTTTTCGTAAAAACTTTATACCAAATAATATAATATTTTCTATTGTATATTCGGATATTCTCATTTTAACCTTATAATAATTTTTATAATAATTATAATCATAATAACAATAATTTTTATTTATTTATTTTTTAAGTTTAAAAATGCATTAATTTATAATTAAGTTAAATTTTAAGAAAATTAATAAAATTGGTTAACAATAGGTTTTTTTTTGTTCTGTATTGTAGTTCACAGCAGGGCACCGTGGATAAATTAGGTCCAAAAAAAGACACCGCTGAAAAAAAAGTTTGGGAACCGTTGCATTAGACAGTGCTAATCTTGTACGATATATTTTAATTTTAATTGAGCGGAATGATTTTTTTTTTTATAGAAGTTATACCTTTTTCAAATGGGAATACTCATCGATTATACAGATATTAATCATTGTTTTACCAACGATTTATTTCAATTAAATATATGGCATTTTTG